GATAACCGTAGCAAAACAAAGCTTTGGTGAATTGAGAAGTGACGCAAATAGGCAAAAGACGAGGATTCGCCATGACACATTGACATAGGGATGACGTAGCTGCGGGTTAATTAGCTCACAATATTAACCTTTTTCCTTCGGTAATTCAAATTCTAAATCATATTTGTACATATAAGAAAAATAAATAAAGGTGTTTGAGGTATATCTGGATTTCATATTTCATATTTAGTGTAAATGGGTATATAAAATAACTATAAAAGGCGCCATTCTGTCTAGACCAGAACATTGTCTGCGATATCACCTCGGTGGAAGCGGGCGTTAAATAAAGCTATTTCACACACACCAGATACCAGAACCTAGGTCGAACAGGCGGCGGGACCTAGCGCCCGGCTGATAGTCAAACCTAAATTTACCTACCACACCTAAGACCGTAGTATTTATGGCAAACTGGCCAGGCTTTGCTTTTCTTACACCTGGAGCCTCCCCCTTGGATGAAATATTCCTTGGGCGCTTCCTTGCAAAGACAATGTGTCTTATCCAAATAAGCTGGATCAAGCCTATTTTGTGGCTTCCACTGACAATTTTCTTAGGTAACGCTTATCTACCCTTGGTGGAAGTGGACGTAAAACTCCGCGAACGAATGAACGAACCGAACCAGTTTCAATTACTACGTCTTATTATTCACGCACCATTGAGCCAATGACCAAAGCCGTGTTATGTGATGGGACATCACACGTAGAATGCATTTGATCTTAATATTAGGTAAAGGATTAGGCTGCAGAAGGTTGAACAAGAGTATAACATAATCAGGATGAAATTATAATACAAAAGATGACAGCACCAACAGCGGGATTCGAGATATAATAACACATAATAAAATAATAATAATAATAATAATAATAATAATGACTTTATTTTCTGAGGGAACATATTTAGTACATGAGTTCAAATTTTCAACATGTCCCTCCTACTCTATAAAACTAGCAACTACACAGTAATAATATTTACAAAGTGCATATATATCATATTATATAAGCTTATAATAAAGAAATATCAAACAAACAAACAATAAAGAAAAAAAAAGGGAAAATAAACATACATTCAGAGGACAACAGTAATTAACAAGGGTTCAAAGATTTAACGTGTTTTACTAATTCCTTTCTGAAGATAAAACTTGAAGACGCGTGTTTCACAGTTTGAGGTAATGAATTCCAGAATACAGAGGCGGTATATTGGAATATTCTTGTCATTGACTTTTTCTTACTTTTTTGGAATTGCTAATTTAAGTTGACTTTCTGATCTCAATGTCATGGTAGTTTCGGTCAATTTAGAATTTTCACAGAATGTGTTATATAAATATGATGGTAATTTGTCTCTTAGAATTTTGAAGGTGAGCATTCCTTGGTTATATTGAATGCGTTGGTAGATTGTATAACTTACAATAGCAAAATGCATAAAAATGTGAAACAAGGAAAATTTACCTATACATTATTTTTATATATGGACATACATGTAGAGGGTACCAGTATTATTCTTTGACAGTAAAATATTTAAAAAGTTGTTTCTTGAAAGAATTTAAGTTAGTGGTCAGATTTAAGTATGGTGGTAAAAAATTTCTTAGGTTTGAGCCTTTAAAACGGATGCTGTTTTTTTTACAATATTAAACTTTGGTCGCAGAGTGATTAGTTTGTTATTAATGTTGGTATAGGAAGTTTCATAGAAAGACAAAAGATTGAACAGGTAATCAGGACGTTGCTTAGATACAATTTTGGAAATAAAGTTACATAAATTGTAGGCATGACGGTTTTCTATTGTTAAAAGTTTTAAGGTATTTATTGTTGGGTATGGTACAGTTTAGCGGTATGATCGACATTAAGCAGCAGTTTAGCGGTATGATCGACATTAAGCAGTAGTTTAAAAGCCACGATTTGTCGTCTAGAAAAAAACATTCAAGAAATTTGGAGTCACGGGAGTCCCAGATTGCAGAACATTAACCACAATGTGTCTGAATATAAGCATTATCAAAAGGAGTGCGGTAGGAGAGAAGGAGATATTGTTTAATCTTACGGAGAAGGAAAAGTTTCTGATTTAATTTTTTGGAGATATATTGAATATAGTGTTTCCAAGTTAAATTATGATTTAAAACGACATTTAAAAGTTTAAAGGATGAGACTACTTCTATTGATTCGTTGTGTACAGGACCTCCATAGTTCACCCCCACTCGAAGACGCTCTCCGCTCTGCAAACTTGAAACGGGAATCTTATCGAACCTGGGATCTACTGGTTAGTGAACAAGCACCTTAATCACTGAGCCAACAAACGACGTGATAATATATATAAGTGATTAAAATACTTCAGACAAATTGATGACCAGAGACAGATTTATGACGTATATATGCAGTTAAAGATATGCAGTCGAATATTCATCCACGAAATCTCGTATACATTGGCAGATGGAATTTAGTATAAGGGTAGTCTGAAGGGCCGCTGTCTAGGCAGAAATGCCCTCATAGCACAGTGTATGACGTATGTCCTTCTTCATTAGCCCAGTCGCAGCACAACAGTAGGACGTTAAACCCCATTTCACTTCATTTTATTTCTAATTAATTCGACGGGATGACCTGTATAACTCGCTATAAAAACTGTTGATCTTTAACAATGATTTAAAGAAGATTTGTGTCGAGCACACGTTACCCCTCCCCCTCTCTCTCTCTCTCTCTCTCTCACGGATAGGACTCAGTACTCAGAAATTTGAGAGAGAAAGACTTTGCCATTCATATTATTGTATTATTGAGGGCAACTTGAACAACCAGCTTATTATTAATAGCCATAATTTTAAATTTCTAAAAATAAAATTAATTCTCATTACACTCTTGGACTGGATGACCCCCCACCTCCCCCCACCCGTTTCGTTTGAATAGACCTGGAGGGTTTTCTCTGGCCATTGCTGCGAGAATATAATAAATAACCGGGGAAATACCGTATGACCCATAGCGCAACGTTTTAGACCATCATAACATAGTGTTTATGTTGAATGTATTTAATTGTTCCGTGTGAATCCCCTATATTTTATTTTCTTTCAATAAACAAATAATGTTGGGGTTTTTTTTTATCTATTTCCCTATTTTTCAGATTACATCATGTGGCGAGGCGGGGTGCTTTTCGGACTATTCTGTCTGATATCTCGAGCCCCAGGACAATTGTCTCCAGTCAGTGGTAAATTTATAAAAATTACTTTTTTGGCAGAGGAAAATTAAATGTAGACAAAAGATGGATTTCTAAATTGCTCCACATTCTTCAAGATGTATTGTTATTTGGACTCAGTGACTAAGACACAAGCTTGCTAACTTGGGGGTCCCGTGTTTCATTCCGGTGTTTGTCGAGAAAGTTCATCTGGATTTTCCGACGCGATTCCCCCTTGTCATTGATGCAGGACATACATTGGCTCGATAACCTAGTGGTCCTGCGTCGACCCTGGTGTTGCTGTCAGTGGTAGGAGAGGGGCTAATGAAGATGGGCATACGTCATACAGTCTGCTATGAGAAAATTTTGCCTGGACAGCGGAACAACAATCAAATCGTCTATCGGAATGTTAAGGGTTCTTTTACGGGCACACCAATGCGGGAATTCGACTGTTCGTCCGATCCGTAAGACTAGACGCTGTCCATGCCAGGCCCCCTGTTCTACATCACTGACAAACCCGCGGACGTTTCCCGGCCATCACTAAAAACCGATGGAACAACCGCTTAAGATGATATGAAATTGATGACATTGTTGTATACATGTTGCAAATAAAACAATGAAATGTGGTTTTTTTATCAGAAATACCTTCTTCCCAGGCCGGTGACAAAATCAATATCGATGATGGCACACATATTATGTCTTTGACTATGTGCTTAGCTCAACTATCTTGTATGAACGACAGGTATACTCTACGAGACGTTTCAACAGTACGTTTAGAACCGGAATCAAGGTAAGTTAAACTTGTATTTATTATCCCAGTATTTTAAAGGTGTAAATTCTCTCTTCGATATAACAGAATGATTCTTTAATATACCGGAACATATATATATACATATATCTTCATACAGTACTGACTGGCCAGTTACTGCACTTAGTAAGAGATCTTAACTAGTGACTGCCTTCAATGTAGTTGTTGTTGTTTATTACAGATTTAACGTCCAATACAATACATATGATATTATGGACAAGTTGATTTAATTCAATTATTTACACTTAAGCATTTAAAAGTTAAAGTTAAAGGCATGTCATTAGTGTTTTCTTGCTAATGCCTCTCTCCAGATAAATGTTACCTGAAAAGTAAAGAAAAGAAAAACAAGAGCCAGCAGCAGCACAGAACAAAGCAATTAAAACAAATTAAAACATTTATAGAAAAAATACATGGCATTAAATTTTTAGACATAAATTAAATTAAATTGATTGTTAAGGTTCCTTATTCAATGTTATATTTAAGGAAAATCAGATAATTGGTTAAAAGTAAATGTTGTAATTAAAACTGACGTGTCGATAGATGAACAATGCATAAAAGATTAAACAATATAATAAATCAACAAAAACAATAGATGGTATTAACGTCGTTACCCAACGACTTACTAGCCGGTTGATCTTAAAGTGGTTAATTTAAGAAACATTAATTATCTTAGCGATTGGCAGATAAGAACATCATTATACTTTCCTCTGTTTTAGAAAAGACGCATACGAAAGAAATGATATATATTATTATTTGTTGAATGATGAAATCAATAATAAAGAATATTAAATATTGTATTCCTAAAGTTATAAGTTCAAGCAAGGACTAAAATTAAACAATCGAGCAACAGAGAAACAATAGATGGCACTAAAGTGATGACAGGTTAACGACTTACTAGCGATTGGCAGATTATCACACCATTAGAGTATCACCGATGTAATGATCTCTCTCTCTCTCTCTCTCTCTCTCTCGCTGTTAGTAAATGTCATATGTTTATTTTTAGATTGATTCGACCAGCTGTACACATGTCGTCTTGTCCGAACTCTGGTCGTTTATTCCGTACAGCTGATGGCTCCTGTAACAACATCCAACGACCCTCATGGGGACAATCATTGGAGCGATTTAAACGTTATGTGGATGCAGAGTATGCTGATGGTAATACATGTAATGAAATGAAATGAAATAGGGTTTAACGGCCTACCGTTCTGCACCGACTGAATATACTTCATACAATATAGTTTGGGGATTTTTCACGGCGGCGGCGCCATGGCCTACTCTTATATCGAATTTCAGCTGTCTAAGGGATCATTTACGTGGGCGCTAATAATGTCCTGGCAGTGGGGCAGAACAAGAAACCGAAGTCGGATGTACTCTTTGAGATACACGTAGCAGAAGCCTTGACAGTCGAAAACCGCTGTCTGGATAAAATTTCCATCATAGAACAACTGATTGGTGTATATACCTGTATTCATTATCTCAGTTGGAGCAGAACAGTAGGACGTTAAACCCCATTTAATTTCATTTTTAAACATATGTACATGTTGTACATATTTTTTTCTTAGTGTTTAACGTCCGCTTCCACCGAAATTGATATTGCAGACAAGTTGCCTTTATTTTCATTTTTATTATCTTAGCGCACGCGCAGGGGTCTTCCGTGTGGGAGGAAACGGGAGTACATATACGCTCACACCAGGAACCAAAACCACAATGACAAGCGCGACAACCTACACCACTAGCCCCCATTTCATTTTGTTTCTTCGTGTTGTAGAAATCGGGGATACTAGAAATTTTGTCAAAATCATATCCTTACTTATCATTTGTTCTTTTGGTTTCTTTTCCAGGAATTGGGGCCCCAAGAATTTATTCCAGTTCTGGACGTTGTAAATGGCCTAGGCGTCGAAGATGTCTATTACCTAGTGCTAGAACAGTCAGTATCAAAGTTCACACGCCAGTTACCCACATGTCACAACACTCGGTGATGCTCATGCAATGGGGACAATTTCTGGACCATGATTTAACTGCATCAGCCATTCAACAACGTAAGTAAAACAAACCACCAGTAGGCCTTTCATTAGGCCTTAAGTTATTAATTAGACATTTATTAACTTGCCGAGGTCATAATCAAGTCTTGGATGTTCTAGATTTCAACAGATTTAAACACGATGGACGGTTAGTGATTTAATTAAAAAATGGATAACCGAGACTTTGTTCACTGTCGTAACAACGGTAGCAATGACATGCGAGACTCCGCCATTCTCCAAACGATCCTAACGTCTCTCAGAATGAAGTAATTTTAAGTGGCTAAGTTTTTAACTCATTATCATCCACTGTCTTCGACATTTAAAACATATGTTTGTGATCTTACCGAGAAAAGATGTGATTCTGATATCCAATATTTTTAAGACAAAATAAATGTTTTACCATTGGTACACGAATCGTGTACCAGAATGCGTTCTGCGTCATTTGTAACAGGGGACTCGAAGAACGAGGTTAGATATATCACACAAGTCACGTCAATCGTTGACGTCATATTCTTATCTGGAGAGCATGCGCAATAAGTACTACCGATGTATACTGGAAACACCAGACGCTAGAGATTACCATTCGATTGACACTTCTGGCGTATTTCGCCGAACATAACTGATTTGAAATTAGAGTAAAAACAGAAACGATTGAATATAAATCAGTTTATATACATTCATACATTATTATATGCGTTGTGATCCATTTGTGTCAATTTCTAGGTCCCAAATATTAGCGATTCAGCTCCGTTAACTAAAACTTTAAAGATAATCCCTTTTTTGTTATGTAGCTTTTTTTAAATGGTAGAGCTCTTTAAGCATTTTAGTCTCTCTTATTCAAGCAAATGTTCTACGAATATTAGTCTAGATTGGTTGTCAATATCGGCTAGGTTGTCATAAACAAAGGGAGGTAACTAGCCCTAAAACAAGATGTCGACGCCTATGAAATTCATTTAAAAATTGACATTTCAGAAATGCCAATTGCATTGCCAGCTCATTATCCAATACATTATCCAGTGGGTTTGACGTCCACTCGACACATACTAGGTCATTTCGGGACTAACATATGGTTCAATTTAATTTCAATAACTCGCTTGCGCGTAGGGGGTCTATGTAGCTTGTCTCATCCCCGGTGGTTGACCCGTCCGCGTTGCATCATAAGGTATTGTTATTGGTGGGTTCAATGGCCGAATGGTTAGCATGTATCGTAAGGTATGTCATTCAGTCAACTGGCGTGGTTTCGATTCCCCGGTTGTAAGTGACAAGTAGTATGGTCGCTTATCCAACCTCGTGCTTTTTCTCCGCCCACTGCTAAAGACTCCTACGCACAAGCGAGTTATTGAAATAAAATTGAACCATATGTTAGTCCCGAAATGACCTAGTTTGTGTCGAGTGGATGTTAAACACACACTCTTGTTGTTTTTGTGTGTAGTGAAGTCATCCTAGAAACGGTTAAAATCTCTTTCTATTCTTCTTTCAGCCGAAGAAAATGCTTCACCGTGCTGTGATAATAGAAGGGCTAAAAAAGGAAAACTTCACCGACACTCCTTTAAAAAGTAAAACATTTATTGTTGTAATTTAAACTGGTTGGCTGGTAAACCAACTGGTGGCTCTTCCCACTGCCTGTTGAACCTCGTGGATTATCTCCGCCCGCTCCACAACTGCCAAAAGACGCCTACACACAAACGAATTACTGAAATAATATTGAACGAGATTTGTGTCGAGCACACGTTACACCACCGCCCTCCCCCTCTCTCTCTCTTTTTTCTCTCTCTCTCTTTCTCTCACCCTCTCTCACCCTCTCTCTCTCCCATCTCTTTCTCCCTCTGTCTCTCACTCTCTCGAGTGTCTGTCTGTCTGTTGTCTGTCTGTCTGTCTGTCTCTCTCTCTGTAGAACATTTACCATTAGAATATTTACCATCTACCCAAACGCTAGCGTATTTACCCTCTATCCCAAACTCTAGCGTATTTACCCTCTATCCCAAATCTAGCGTATTTACCCTCTATCCCAAATCTAGAATATTTACCCTCTACCCCAACTCTAGAGTATTTACCCTCTACCCCATCTCTAGAGTATTTACCCTTTATCCCAACTCTAGACTTTTGTTGGCCCCTACCCAAACTCTAGCTCTACCATAACTTATTATTATTATATTTTACAGAAATAAAAGATGCTTTCCAATACCTATCGTTCAAAAACCTGCTGATCGTTTTTTTAAGTCTAAATGTTTAGACTTTATCCGATCTCGCTCAATTAACCCCAGAATAAGTAAGTATGTATAACTAATTAGACTTTATTTGTTGTTTCTTTATAAGTTTACTGAAATACATTTATTTGTCTTTTATACGTTATGGTATCTTATAAGTTTACTAATATACCTTTACATGTCTATTAAATGTAATGGTTTCTTTGCTAGACCTTATTTTTTTTTATTTTCTAAAGAATCTATTCGCTTTTTCGAATTGTATCATTGTAAAAGCACCATAGAGCAGCTTTTTCCAGCTGGATTTTGGCGCTATATAAGTTTATTGAATTATTATTATTATTATAATCAGACTTTGTTGACCCTAGATTCAGTAGCCGCGGTGGCTCAGTGAGTACGACATTAGCTCGCTAACCAGGAGGGAGGTTCGGTGTTCGATCCCTGCGTTGGCCGAGAAAGTTCATTGGGATTGTAGGGTGTGGTTTCTACTTGTCAGTCATGTATGACAAGGGGCCTGACAAGGGACAACATGTAGTTGTTCGGATGGGACGAAACACCGAGGTCCCGTGTACACGTAAAAGATCCATTGACAGTTGGAATTCGATATAAGAGTAGGCATATAGGCCATCTTTATCAACCCAGTCGAGGCAGAACAGTAGGACTTTAATCCCTATTTCATTTCATTTCATTTCATTTTCCTAGATTCAGGAATTAAATAGGGTGGCCGAATGGCTTCACGCATGCGTGTTGAATCATAAGGTATGTCAGCTTGTACTTACCAATGAGTAGTGTCGTCTGCCCAGCCTCTGGTTTCCTACCACAGCTAAAGACTTCTAATCGCAATTGAATTATTGAAATAAAATTGAAACATATGTTAGTTCCGAACAATAATCAAACTTTAATTATTTGGTATTTATAAACGTTCGTCCCAGTATGGGAATATCTCTGATTTACATTCAATCGTTTCAGTTTTTACTCTATTTTCAAATCAGTTATGTTTGGCGAAATACTCCAGAAGTCTAAATCGAATAGCAGTCTCTAGTGTCTGGTTATTCCAGTCTACACCGATAGTATTTATTTCGCATGCGCTCCAGATAAGAATATGACGTCACCGAGTGACATAACTTGGGGAATATGTCTAGCCTCGTTCTTCGAATCCCTTGTTGCAAATGGTGCTGAAACGCATTATGGGACACGATTCATGTACCAATGGTAAAATTTGTATTTTGTCTTAAATATTGGATATCAGAAGCCCATCTTTTCCCGGTAAGATCACAACATCTTGATTTAAATTAACAAATAATCGTGTTTTCAATGTCGAAGACTTTGGATAATATTGAGCTTTATTTCTTATTTCAGACCGTAGGAATCCACGAGAACAACAGAATCTATTGACACCTTTTGTGGATGGTTCCAATGTTTATGGCAGTGACCAGGAAACACAAGATCGTCTACGATTACCTAACGGTAAGAAATGGACTGAACTAGGGTTAAACATCCAACGTTTGTAATCTCCACTGTTTTAGAATTCCAGATTACATGTTAAATGTACCCGTCAGTGAATAGACGGGTTTTGTTTGAACGGCAAGACCTTCATTGCTTGCCAGTACCTGTCCTCCCCCCCCCCCCACACGTCTGGGTTTGTCTTGTCCCATCCGTCTGTAAAAGCGTAAGAATCAAAACCGGGATCTGGTCCATTCGACCACAATAACCCCACGAATTAAAAGATAAATAACTGTCTATTTATTATGGTTTTTATTTCCCAGGTCGTATGAAGACACCGACAGGTGATTTATTACCAAAAGGTAGAGATGACGTGTTAGGTTTTAGACGGTAGACTACTTGACAAAAATAACCCCACGAATTAAAAGATAAATAACTCTATATTTATTACGTTTTGTTTTTCCAGGTCGTATGAAGACATCCACTAATGATTTATTACCAACAGGTAGAGATGACATGTTAGGTGTTAGACGGTCGACCACTTGACAACAATAACCCCACGAATTAAAAGATAAATAACTCTATTTATTATGGTTTTTATTTCCCAGGTCGTATGAAGACATCGAAAGGTGATTTATTACCAACAGGTAGAGATGACATGTTAGGTGTTAGACGGTCGACCACTTGACAACAATAACCCCACGAATTAAAAGATATTATGGTTTTTATTTCCCAGGTCGTATGAAGACATCGAAAGGTGATTTATTACCAAAAGGTAGAAATGGAGACTGTATCAGAAAGAATGCACCATTCTGTTTCGATGCTGGTAAGTCACCTTTCCAACATCATTCCCAGATCCATTCATTGTGTTATTATTGCTGTCTGTGTCTTGTGTATTTTATTGTGTGTGGTGCGGTCTCCCTGCACGTACGGCACGTACAGGGCTGGTTAATTTGATACCACAAGCGCGATGAGCGAACATACATACACATATACATGCACAAAGACATTTATTCATATGACAAGCTTTTAAGCAACTCTCTACAGCATCGGGTGGCCGATATTTAAATGGATTAAAAGATTTAAAGATAAGTAGATAATCTAAACTTAGTCTCGTTTGTCAATTGTCATTGCTACGTTAATAAACAATCTGTCCTACATCTTCAAACTTCGCAAACAATAAACATACATTATGCAAGAGCTAAATCTTTAGGCCTGAAATATTATCTTAATTATTAATTAGACATTAATTAACTTATCCAGACCATAATCAACTCTCGATGTCATCGCTAGCCTGTGATATTTAGCGGATTAGGTTCCGATTTGCTGTTCGACTTCCATTCATGATTTAATCATGAAATGGATAATCGAGACTATGTTTTTATCGTAACGACTTTAGTAATGATGATCGAGGCTGAGCCTAAAAGTCAATCGCTACAATCTCGGTTCAGAGTGGATCAATTTGACTGAAATTTTACGCAAATTCCCTTTACCTTATCTAGTTTTTAACTATTATCATGAGAACTGCCAGCTCTTTTATTTAATCTCCCATAATTTATCTTTAATTATTTGGTATTTATAAACGTCCGCCCCAATGACGGGAATCATAAACAATCTCTCTCTATCCCTCTCTCTTTCTCTCTCTCCCTCTCTCTCTCTCTCTCTCTTAACAGACGGGTTTTCTATTTTCTAGGTGACGAAAGGGTACATGTGTATCCCGGATTAACAGTTTTACACACAGCTTTCGTCCGATACCATAATTATATTGTTGATGATTTAAAACAACACAATACAGGGTGGGATGGGGACAGATTGTTCCAGGAAACCAGAAAAATCATCAGTGCCCTTCTACAGGTGAGGGGAGTTATTTTATTATTTTAGAATATTGAAAGGTTTAATAAGAAATTTCATCGAGATATTCCGGTGTGGTTCATCTTTGTCTGTGATGCAGGACCGAGGGCCTGGCAAGCGATAGCTTATAGTCGTTCGAATGGGACGAAACCCCGCGGTCCCGTTGGAATTTGATATAAGAGTAGGACACAAGAGGTTCGCAAGTCCGTTCGTTTGACACTTTACCTCAACGATCAGTGCCTGAAATACTGTCAGGCTGCATTTCCGGCAACTTGTTTTTCAAAATGTTCTGGGGGAGCCCCCTACACCTAGTTGAAGCTCGTCCCTTTGCCCCCTTAAACTTGGACTTTGCCCCAGCTTTGCCCCTCCAACCACCGACGACTGGCGCCGCCACTGGAGGTGGAGTGCATGGTTTAACGCATGTGCGTTACATCGTAAGGTATGGCATTGAGTGAAGTGGTATGCTTTTTGTTCTATGTCTGTACGAGGTAAGGAGTAGGTTCGCATGTCAAACCTCGTATGTTACCTCTGGGTCCTCCGATTTCCTTCCACAGCTTAAGCGCGTTATTGTACAGTGTAAAGAATCTCTCTCTCTCTCTCTTCCTCTCTCTCTCTCTCTCTCTCTCTCTTATATTCATTCATCATATATTGTTTTAAACAGAGAATCACCTACACGGAATTTTTACCTGAAGTTTTATCCGATGCCACCATGAATCACTACAATCTAAAGGAGGGAAACGACAACTACCAGTACAACATCAACGTTAATCCAAGTATCGCAAACGTTTTTGCCGCGGCAGCGTTTAGATATGGACACTCTAAAATTCCCGATGCTCTAGTTATAGACGATAAGGTAGTTCCAACTCGAAAACTCTTCAATGATCCACAGTTTATTTTCACCAGTTTGAAGTCAGTTGTTGAAAATATTCTATCCCAGCTCAGCTCAGAGATCGTTTCCTGTCCGAACAAATCACAGATCACCTGTTTGAATCTGCCATGGGATCGTTTGATTTGGGTGCCTTTAATATCCAACGAGGTCGAGATCACGGTCTACCACCTTACAACACCTTTAGAAAATTCTGCAATTTACCTGAAGCCAACAACTTCAACAGTGAACAATTCGAGAAAACGGCTCGAAAACCTCTTAAAAAGACATACAAGTAAGTTGGACAACTTCTTCTTCGTCTTCTTCCCCTTCTTCTCCCCTGGGGCTTAACGCCCACGTCCACCTGAAGTGGTATGCAGACAACTGTTTCCAAATAAGATTGTTGTCTCGTGTAGGTTGGAGACGGGTGATTGATTAAGAGACATATCGATTCCATTTCCTTAAACCCCATTTCATTTCATAATGCATGTTTAAAGGAACCTATTGTCAAAGAGAGAGGGAGAGAGAGAGAGAGAGAGAGAGAGAGAGAGAGAGAGAGAGAGGGGGGGATCGTCCACTCGACACAAATTTCTATAAATTGCTTGCGAGTAGGGGTCTTTAGCAGTGGGAGGAAAACGGAGGACTCGGAGAAAACCCACGAGGTTGGACAACTCCCTGTCACGTACAACCGGGGAATCGAAACCACACCCACCGGTTGACTCAATGACATACCTTATGATACAGCACGCACGTGCTAACCATTTGGCCATCCCACCCCTCCTATTGTCAAAGAACATTACCTGTATTCAATAGGTACCGTCATCGATGCAAGTGTCATGTGTTCAATACCACATGTTAGACCTAAATGACATAGTTTGTGCTGAGTGGACGTTAAACACCGTTATTTTTCTAGCTCACTGATTCTTTCTAATATATGAAATGAAATGGGATTTGCGTCCAACTTTTCTGCGCCGACTGGGCTAATGAAGACGAGATACGCTATACAGTGTGCTCTGGGAGGGGGGGGGTGCCCGGACAGCGGGGTTACATCCAACTTTTAATTCGAATTGCATGCCAATGTTTACACAGTGCCTCGGTTTTTCGTCCGATCCGAACCACTAGACACTGCCCTAGCCAGGCCCTCCTTCATGGACCACGTCGGACAATGGGATGAACTCCCCGCGACTCCCTTGTTTCTTACAGTCCACTAGCTTGTACTATGGAGTATCCACCAACAGCCTTTAATGAAAAGCACATTTATTTTGTAGAAGTGTTGATGATATTGATGTATTCGTCGGTGGTATGGCAGAACAAAATGAAAATGGGTCGGTTCTTGGCCCGCTCTTCAATTGTATCTTGGGCAGACAATTCAGCGATTTGAAATATGGAGACAGTTTCTGGTATGAAACAACAGACCAGAAACGAGGATTCTCGAAAAGTGAGTAATTTTTCTCCCCTCTATGCCACCTGCCTCTGGAGCCGCGGTGGCTCAGTGAGTCAACTCTGCCTCGCTTATCTGGAGGTTCCGTTTTCGATCCTGGTGTTGGCCGAGAAAGTTCATCGAAATTTTCCGGGAAAGGTTTCCCCCTTGTTGGTGTAGATGGATGGCGGGTCTGGGAAGGGACAGCGTAGAGTCCTTCGGATGGGAAGAAAAACGTGTGCACGCAACAGAATTCGATAGAACGGTGGACCGTAGCGCCGCTGTCCGGTCAAAGTTTCCCTCATAGCACACTGTATGGCGTATGCCCGTCTTCATTTGTCAAGACGGTGCAGCGATATCGGACGTTAACCCCATTTCATTTACAAATGGTATCTCGATTCTTAGAAAGATCGAAATAGTATTAGACATATCCTGGATTCATAGAGAGCTCAAAATATTATTAGACGTGACATCCTCGATGTTGATACCACAAATATATTATTATTCAGTCTTTATATGGAGCTCTAGTTTGATCGTATTCGAATAAAATTATGCATAGAAAAACCTATGAATGTCGGGGATCTAAGATTAGACCTTGTTCCCGACAACAAAAGTTTTATAAAGGACTATATTTTAGTCAAAATAGGGCTAACAATTTTGAGTAAATTCTTAAATTAACCCTCAAATGCTTTGTGAACTCGTGGCCGGGTGGTTTCTGCTATATAAGTTCAAAATGGATATTGAAAAATGAATATATTGAAAATTTCATTGAAATAATTTATTCTGATCGTAGATAGAGGACTGTTTGAAAATATAGCGTAGATCGTTCATTATCGTTCCAACACTTCGATTGTTCATTTTATCGTCAGTTAGTTTTTTAAATCTCGCGGATGTTTAAATCCATATAAATCTTGGCATTCCGATGTTCTAGAGAATGGATTTATTTTTTAAAACTATATTTTATTCAATAAGAATGGGATTGGGGAACAGGCTAGGCCTATATCATCCCTCTCCTTTCAACAACACAACATAATTACAATTAGTTTACTTATAAACATGTATATAGTCCAAACTATTCATATTGTGTTATTAATTAATACAATTGTGCAAGTATACAATAATATTTTACAAATAAAAGGTTAATTGATATACATAATGACTATTTTGGTTTAAGGCCTGAAAGTGTACAAATATGTCAATATGTAAACAGAATCTAGAGATGGTAATGATAAATGACGATTACAGAATTTAAAATCTATTACTTAATTCTAAAAAGTTTTGCACCTCAGAAAATATTAATTTATTTTGCTCAAGTGAAATATCTGTAGAGCCGTACAATATGAAACTTTGTGTTAATGTATTCTGTTGGTAATGTTTTTATGGTTTTATTTCGTGCATCTGAATATAAGGGACATATCAGCAAAAAGTGATAAGAATCTTCAAAATTTTGTCCACATCGGCAGGTTGGAGAGTCGGTTATATGTCTCAAAAATGTATGTCCATTTAGATCGCTGTTAGATAAACGAATTCTTGAATGGATGATTTGAACTTTTAACTATATTGTAATAAGAAGGTACCAAGTGATCATGTTTTGAGAGATTTTGTTTAAAAATGAATAACGTATCTGAATTACGTATAGAAGGATCTAGATTGTTCCAAAGTCGTGTAGTTGAAGGAAAGAAAGAATTATAAAATAGATTGGTTTTACAAAAACAGTATGGAAGGTTTTTGTCATTTCTTAATAAGTATTTACTTTGTTTTTTGTTTAAATTATCATAAAGGTAATCGGGGGTTAAGTGGTTTATTATTTTATATAAAAATATCAACTTATGTCTTTCACGACGTTGTTTTAGAGGCAAAATACCGACTTCTTTATATAGTAGATCATGGCTAGTTCCCTTCACAGCGCCACATATTGTGCGTAAAGCATCTAATTGTAATTGTTCTAACTGGTTAGCTAAGTAATCCGTGCACCCATCCCAAATAATGTCAGCATAGTCAAAGTGTGGTAAAATATAGGAAGTATATATTGTTTTGAGTGATTTCCTTCCTAGTCGATACTTGAGTGATCTTAAGCAGTTGATAAATTTTGAAACTTTTCTATATGTATTTTCCATTTAAGATTGTTTTGAAAAATAAGCCCCAAATGTTTGTAATGAGATACTTCATTTATTTTAACCGTGTTCATGCAAAGTGGACTCGAATCGTGCTTAGATGTGGTTGAGAGTGGATTATAGCCTAGTCATGTAAATAAATGCCTAAATAATAATTAAAGGAAAAATAATTACCTACAATATAAAGATTTAACTCTTGCATAATTCTTCTTTAATTGGTGAAAAGAAACGTTAAAGAGAAATATGGTTTCTTCATTTTAATTTCCAGATCAACTTAAGGCCATTAAGAAAGTTTCTTTGTCTAAGATCCTGTGTCAAGTTTTTAACTTGGCTAAAATCCAAAAAAATCCTTTCCTGCACAAGTAAGTTTTTAAAGTTATACCGAGATAGTTAGTTGGTGGTGGAGTGTGCAATCTATTCAATAGTGGTAAATTCCTTCTTTTAAATCTACACATGATGCCTGATCTTTAACTTCACGTGCAGCATCGGTCAACGTGTGATGTTACATCCTACCTCCATAGAAGGGTTGAGATGGCCTAGTGTAATCTGTTTCACAGCTGCAAATGCAAACGCCAACTTTTAAATCTATACAAGTTTTAAGTTCACGTGCAGTATAGGGTCACATCATCTCGGTTACTTTCGATATTGATTGCATGTCGGACCGTAACATCCTGGATTACGTCCCCTTATTTGAGGCCTACGAAAAATTGCTTTCTTCGCGTGTCCTCATGCATCTGTTGCAAATTTCTGGCGTATCTTGCGTGTTTTATAAAAAAAAAACATGGATATAATTTAACAAGATTTAAATTTATTATATTTTTATGTTTTACAGGGGCAAGAAAGTCAGATGTAAGAAACTGACAGGGTTGGACCTTAGTCCCTGGTATGAACATTAAATGATTTAAAGCAACTTTGCTAACGACGTTGGATGGCTCTATAACAATAACGTTGCGAACGACGCTAACGTCTATAACAACACCACTGATGACGTCATATTCAGCATATCGTACTGGCTTCCATGTACATTTCTATAATGATCTTCTCATCCAATAAATTATTTTATTACAATTTCGATTCGTTTCGTTTGCTTTTCTCATCTTTAAAGGACAATATTGGTGTCAGTTATTATTACATATGTGACAGAACTAGTTAAACACATTTCAAATATAATTTTAACACAGAGATCAATGTTACAGTAGATGTGTAATGAAGGTTTCTACAAAAGGAAGTGACGAGCACAAAAGGAAAACACGAGTTATCCTTCTATATAACTGACTGAAGTTTAACTGACTGGGGTTTAACGTTCTACTTATCTACACCGACTGCGATAATTTGGACGGGAGCCATGTCTTGTTTTGAATTTCAACTGTCAAGGGATCTTTTACACGGGACCTCGGGTTTTCATCCCATCTGAACGACTGGACACTGTTCTTGCCAGGCCCTCGTTGGGTAAACCGCGCCTCCAAATTATAGGAAATCATAGTTTTTTTACGTTTCCACAATTGGGCACCGTCCAAATAACTACTTCAAATAGTCGCCATTATTCCCATGAAAGCTTATTGTCGTGTCACATTTTGTAAAAAAGAAAAAAAAATACGTTTTTGAATTTCTTTCTTTTTGATGGATTTATTTGTGATTTGTTTCCATAATTTCTGAAATCGATAAAAATATATTTTTGACTAAAATTGTATTCAGCAAGGTGTCAGACCATTATAATTAATATTTATAATCTAAAACATGATTGTGTTTCATCCTAGACTGAAAGTATTATCAACCGCCTGAAACACGGCCTTGGTTCACCTGCAGTATATAAAGTCCTGATCCTGATCAACACAGGACAGGATCAAAAATGGAAGCATAACGACAATAAGCGGAGAGTATTAAGTACCATTATATTGTATTTCCTCCTTCTAGACGTTTAAAGCAGGCTTCGCCATGGACGGTGGATGGCGAGCGCTGCTAAGAACCCGCATGGTGTAATAATGTAATGATAACAAGTCGGGAGAATTAATTGAAGTGTTAACGAAGCTTCAGTGGATTTCTCTTTTAATAAGCATGACCTACAGCATGAGCTATATTGACTAAATAGCGGGAAAATTGAGTACAAACAGAATTTCCGCTAGATGGCGTTTATTTCCACTTGATGGAGTTTATTTCCGCTTGATGACGTTTTAATTAGACTTTCAGACATAATTTCGTCAGCTTTCTTGGCATCTCCGGTGTTAATGTTTTCTTTATGTGTTGCTTTGACAGAAATAGGTCCAATCCAATTTTTCAGAAAGGTTCCATCATCAGACGACTTTACGGCATATGGAGTTAAAACTGTTACGGAATTTTTACAACAGCGGACGACTTTACAGATATAGTGCAATCTGTAGCAGGATTTAAAAAAAATCACCTTTGGGTTCACATCTCCACGCAGGGTTCTGATATCACCGTCAACAACCACCCTTGTGTTCATAACTCCAAGAAGGGTTTTGGTATAACCATCACCAATCACCCTTGGGTTCACATCTCCATGAAGGGTTTTCGTATCACCATCACCAGTCACCCTTGTGTTCACATCTCCATGAATGGTTTTGATATAACCATCACCAATCATTCTTGTGTTCACATCGCCATGAAGGGGTTTCATATCACCATCACCAATCATCCTTGGGTTCACATCTCCACGCAGGGTTTTGATATCACCGTCAACAACCACGCTTGGGTTCATATCTCCAAGAAGGTTTTTGGTATAACCATCATCAATCACCCTTGGGTTCACATCTCCATGAAGGGTTTTCGTATCACCATTATCAGTCACCCTTGTGTTCACATCTCCATGAATGGTTTTGATATCACCATCACCAATCATCCTTGTGTTGACATCTCCATGAAGGGTTTTCGTATCACCATCATCAGTCACCCTTGTGTTCACATCTCCATGAATGGTTTTGATATCACCATCACCAATCATCCTTGTGTTGACATCTCCATGAAGGGGTTTTGTATCACCATCACCAATTTCATTTCTAATCTGCTGAGTCGACCTTCTATAATGACCGTAATTCAAGATGCTGAGTGTTATCTTATTTCTGGAACTGGCAGCAACGTGGAAGCGATAAAAAAAAGCAGCCATAGTCTCAAAAATTTAATTTCGAGAATTCTTGATGGTAGAAATTAAAATTGGTGGAATTTTCATTAATCGTCATTTCTTTCCGTTGGGTATGACTTGTAATATGTGGTACATTAATCCCGAAATGACATAGTTGCTCTTAAATGAATATATTGTTAACGCGCTTTAAACATCTAGATGCAATAGACAAGGTGTAGAAAATTCAAGCTACATTCAAATGTTGGCAATACAAATCTAATCATAGAGTTTAGTTATAAACTGTTAACCACCCGTAGATGTTATAAATCACATAATTTATTCAGCTCGAGGCAAGATTTAAAATGAATAGATGCGGTTCGTTTAACTTGAATGTAGATATTATATCATGGATATATAGGACCTTTCGGTTGAATCATATCATAGGAATGTCTTATTTGCATAGTTTTACGTATTTGTCGACATTAAGGTGTACGTGTTCTATAGTTCTATTTAGCCTACACATTTTCTTGTTTCACTTGACTTAACAAAACATTGTGTAGGAATGTAGGCTTTTATAGATTAAACAAAAAGCTGATAAATGTTGAGATGTGTGGAACATGCTCGAGGCGATTTGTAACAAATCTCAGGCACGATATACTCTTCAAAAAAGTAGGGGATATTAAAATGCAAATACCTATGCAGGTTGTAATATGACAAATAGTCATGGACACTAGACATGCTTTGAGACGTACGTAACTAACGTACGAAAATTAATTGGTGGCTAGCTTTTTTTTTCGCACGTATACAGTGAATGGCCATTTTGCCCAGTAATTCCAGCCAGAATTTGGCTATTTTCTAAATTGACGTTAAAGTTTAAAATATTTGATTTAGAACTGAAACACATTAACTATTAGTCAATCCCAACGCTAAAAACATCAACAGAATTGATTGTGTATATCTGAAATAGACACGACCGACGCACTAAATAGTGCAATATATTTAATAGCGCTTTTATCTGGTGTATCTTTCATTTCATTTTCTTATGAATTAGACTATATTATTATAACAATAATGTGCGCATTTTGTTGTATAATAATAATAATAATAATAGTTTGTTCAGCTATACTTTTCGTTTAAAATATGTATATTTTATCTCTTTTTCGTGGAATTCTATGAGATATCCATCCACATCCCTGTCATTGGCAGCCAACTTCGACACAACAGTATGATAGGACATAAAATAGAAAGTGAGTAGGTACAAATACTTGGGACCCAAGGTGGCGTCTTTGTACACTTGACGTTATATTTTCATGACGTCATATGAAATTTCTGGCTTCACAGTTGTCGCAACTATATCTACATACGGCGTTGCGTTGAATAAGTATATGACGTTGATTTTAAGATAGAGTTCTAAAAATCTGCTTTTAAATTTAACAATTTCGTTAGAACTCGATCGTTTTTTTCTTCTATTTTTCAATTAAGAGAACTTTCACAGAACAAAAAAAAATAGTATATAATTGGAAATAAACGGGCTACAAATATATTTGATAAGCTTAGTCCTTGTGTGTGTCGTCCGTATATAAGGTCCCGAAATTGGTCAAAAGAAAAAATAATTACAGTATATAGCCCCTTAGTTAAACATCCGACCCAAAACAGTTCGTAAAAGGTTCTAATGTCGCTTGTACGCAAATATATAACGCACTAAACTCACTAGAAAACAAAATCTGTATAAAATCCAACTCATATAATAATAATTTGTATCTATATTTGATATGATTCTGGGGTGCCATCCACAATCTCCCACCCTACAATGGATGTCAACAAAATAATTCCCATAACACTGAGGAGAATATAGATCCTATTGCCTATATATTATTGTTCGCCGATCGTTATCTAACGATTCAAGTTGACGTAAAGTTCAAATCATATTACGTTTATTGATTTTGTTAATATCCTTTAGTGAAATTTGTGGGTGCTTACTTGACTCTGCCCATCCTTAAATCCGCGCCCCCCGAGAACCATACATGGTATCAAATGTATTCTTTTAAACACAATAAATACAGCATTAATATAATTGTGAGTTACCGGGGTTGAAATGCTCCCAAACAAGCCACCGGATGTTGACAGAGTTAAAGGCTTAGTTAAAGCGGAAATTGTAGTTTAAAATTTTAATTATGGATTTCATCAAAAATGGACATGGTTTGTTTGTAAATTAAGAATTAAACCAGTTTCTGTAAATATAGGCCTACATATAATATGTAAAAGGCGTCGACTGAGTAGAACAAAGTTGGTGTGGTTTTTGTTAAATATAAAACTTTCATAATTCAGTTTCTCAACTGATACAAGTAATGTTAAATAATCTCGTTTTTCCGAATTGATTTTAATTTAGATCTAAATTGTTTGATTAATTTTGTTTTAAAAAAAGAATTAAAAAGTAGGAGAATTATATTCATTGACGTCAAAATGTATGACGTCTTGGGCGAGATTTGGTAAGTTGACATGCGCATTGCCGGTTTTCCCTGTGTATCCGGTTCCAGTCTGATTTGTTTTTATCAACAGTCTGCGAGTGACAATTTTAATTACGCTCCTGTGTTATACCTCCAGGGACAGAACCACGCCCAATTATTGTATAAGAACTTTAACACACCATCCACACAAGTTTTCATCTATAGCATTTTGAAGTATCTACACAGAAGTACATGTGTAACGGCACCATGGTAAATATTGTGGTTGTTTTTGGATAATTAAGAGTGACAGGTTAGTTACTGAAGGGATATTTCGAGGCCCGAATTGTCAATCATTGTTCATTTATTTAAACATTAAAGAGTTATTTTATTTACTTACAGGACCAGAAAAGAAAAAAAGAAACAGAGAGGATATAATTCAACGTGTTCTGAATGAGACAACAACCAGCTTTATAAATTATCAAAGAGAACAAGAAAGATCATATTTTGAATTCG